GTTACTTAAGCGAACATTATTATTGATGTAGTTGCATCTTCTTGTTAACTTACATAAATAAATCCTCGAATAAAACATGAATATTTAATGAAGTATACTCAGTTGAAAACCAAGATCGTAGCATTATTGAAACACATAAACAAAAGCTTTATAAAAGAATCGATAAAGCAATGTTATGTCATTTTTACAAGAATTCAATTGCTTAAAGACATTGATTATACATATTTATACATACATACATACAGAGTTGGACATATCTGCGGTTGCCAGACGTACTGATTTTATCAGTACAGTACTGATTTTTCAACTCTTGTTCTGATTTTCTTTATTTCTTTAATCAGTACGCTAATGTCCTGATTTTTCAAAATTTGTACTGATTTAAACTGAATATTCAATTCAAACAAAATACTTCAGGATTTCCTTAAGGTTTTTACATAACGTTGGAACTTCCTTAAACTGTAAAGTAAAAAGTAACAAGTAATTTTTAGCAAAAAAAAACCGACTTAAAAAAAGTATATATATATCTATATATTTCATGATCCAATGATCGGATCTAAACCAAATTAGTATGCGACCACCTCTGAGACACTGCCTTTCCGTTGCAAATATTATTGAAATCGGTTGATGTGGTGCAAAGTTATGCGGTAACATACATAAAAAAAAAAAAAAAAAAAATATTCCGACGAACTGATAACCTCCTCCTTTTTTGGAAGTCGGTTAAAAAGAAAATAATTTAATTATAGTTGACATGTTTCAGATAATGTTTGATAAGCCCAAGAAATTAATACAACAAAAAGTTCATTCGTTTTATGGGCATATCGCCGGGTGGTTACGTACCAGTTGCGATAATATGATGGAACTTAAATTATTTAAGAATAAGGCTGACGTTTTTTTTGTTGTTAGTCATCTCGTAAATAACTTTCAGTTCAATAACAACAAATTTGAATATTCGAATGGTTTTTGCCTATAACTTACCATTCTTTTTCACTATTTACTGACATTGTTAAGGAGTTTTGCATACAAAACATAGAGTTAGATACTCTTCCACAAAAGAAGGAGGTTATCAGTTCGTCGGAATATTTTAATTTTTTTTAATTCTTTTAATTTTTTTTTATTTGTTTTATTTTTTTATGTATGTTAATGCATAACTTTTGACCACGTCAACCGATTTCGATAATTCTTTTTGCATCGAAAGGTAGTGTCTCAGAGGTGGTCCCATACTAATCTGTTTAAGATCCGATCAGTGGATCATGAGATATATATATATATATTTTTTATATGAGAATTGAAGTCGGTTTTTTTTGCTAAAATTTACTTGTTAGCGAACTCTTATGCCCAGTTTTTTGACGAAGGCGATTTAAAGTCGTTGAATTGTGAGTTAACTCAAAATTGTGTTTGTTCACACCGACTTAATATTTTTGCGCCGTCTACGACGCGGCCAAGTTTCAGTCTCCGATTTTTTAAGTCGTGAAAATTTGCGATTTAAGCTCGTTAAACCAAGGTTTATCATATTTTCGGGTTGTTGACTGCACCTTGCTGTCAGAATTTGGCAGAGGATCAAATACATAACACTTTTCTATTTTTATACCCGAGCGCACTTGTGCACAAGGGTATATTAATTTTGTTCACATAACGGTTGTTTGTAACAGCCAAAACGAATCGAGATAGATATAGACAAATGTATACACAAATGATCAGAATGAAAAGAGAAATCGATTAAGCCATGTCTGTCTGTCCGTCTGTCCGTCCGCCCGTGTACACGATAACTCGAGTAAAAATTGAGATATCTCAACGAAATTCAGTATGTGGGTTTCTGTTAATCCAAGGTAGGTTGTTATTGAAAATGGGCGAAATCGGATAGTAACCACGCCCACTTCCCATATAACGGTAATTTCCAGAAATACGAAAACTGCGATATTTTATTAACTACTGAACATAATTCACTCAAAATTGATATTTGTGATAATTTTCAGACGAAAAATAAGAATATTGTAAATTTTTGGAAAATGGGCGTAGCCACGCCCACTTATGGTTACATGTGTATATCTTGGTAACCGCTCCACCAATTTCTTCCAAACTTGGCACAGTTGTTGGCCTTGATACAGCATACTAAATGGCCGAAAATTTAAAAAATCGGACAATAACCACGCCCACATCCCCTATAACGGTAATTTAGAGAAATACAAAATCTTCGATAAATCAGTAAATATTAAAGCTAATTTATTCAAAATTGATGCCCGCAACAATTTTTTACCAAGATATACGTTTATGGTAAAATTTTGGAAAATGGGCGTGGCACCGCCCACTTATGATCACATATATGTATATCGGTAACCGTTCTACCAATTTGTACCAAACTCGGTATTTTTATTGTGCTTGCCAAATAAAAGCAAAACGTTGAAAATTATTGAAACCGGACTAAAATTACGGTCGCTTTTTATATAACGGTAAATTTCAGAACTGCTTGAAACTTCAATAATTCGAAATTTAAGGACGCTAATTTACTCAAAATTGATACGCCCCGGCTTACCATCTAGCGGTAGCTTTTGGAAAGGTGAAAAAACATATATTTAATACTTGTGTCGGGTATTTAATGTTCGGCTCCGCCCGAACTTAGACTTTCTTACTTGTTAATTTAGTGCCTGCGGCATGTATCATTTGCCAGTAGTTAATTGGGTTAGTGACGATAGCGACAGAGATAGCGATGATGAAGTTGGTAACGTGGAAAGAGTGACACGCAAACCATACAGATTCTTTCGACGATTGGACATGAACTGGCTTGACGACGGCGAATTTATTGCACGCTTTCGGTTGAAAAAAGGAACAGTCGCTCACGTGCTTGAAATGATCGCGCCAAGATTGCCATTCAACCCAACTCGGTTCGTTTTAAAAATATCGTGTCCGTGTGCATTTTTGCAAGAATCAAATTTTATTGAAAATAATAATTCACAGATCCCGAAGCATAACACCGCTAAACCAGTTATTGATCGCGCTACGATTTTTTGCCTGCGGAAATTTTTAAATCACCGTTGGCGACTTCGTTGGAAGCAGCCGCACGAGTTTTGCATCATTTTACCTCGTGTATCTACAGCAATTGCTCGCTTCCTACCACAGGTAATACGTATGCCTTCTACGCTGGAAGAGATGCGCAAGACAAGCCTTACATTTTATAAAATTGCAAAGTTCCCAGGTGTCATTGGTTCTATCGATTGCACGCACGTTAGGATTCAGTCGCCTGGCACCGACCAGGCCAAGAACTATCGTAACCGCAAAGGTGGATGTTTTGTTTTTTATTTTTTAACATTCATATCTTTCGTTTTTTTCGACAAGGTTGGTTCTCCATCAAAGTGCAAACAGTGGTCGATGCGGGAGCTCGAATTACGAACACTGTTGCTCGCTGGCCAGGTTCTACTCATGATGACGGCGGATATCGTAACAACGAATATATGGTGACACCGCATTTGAACCCGCAAATAGCTGAAAAGTAACTTTACAACTGCAGCCACATTAGCACGCGTAATGTCGTGGAGCGGTCATGCGGTATACTCAAACGACGTTGGCCTGTACTATCAATGGGTGTGCGTGTGCCATTACATACGGTTCAATTAATTGAATGAACGAACGGGACTACATACCGGACGAGGAAATCGATGGAATCAACGATGGAATGGGCTCCCTGCATGAGTCAGTTACAGATCGCGATCATGGTACGAGGAGTAATACGAGAGATAGGCTCACAAGAGAATATTTCCACGGATTGTTGATGGCTGGAAGATAAGCAAATGAAACCCCAACCAAAACACGATAAACATGTTAATTAAAACCTTTTATTGAAATTTCAATTCTGCAGTATTACATGCAGTCCCACATACAGAAACCTAATTCTTTCAAATTTCGTTTTCCGAGAAGTTCGTGCGCTTGCGTTTTACGCTCTCAATTTTGGCAGTAAATGGCTGTATTTCTTTATTCATTCTGAACGTTTGGAATAAACTTTTTTGTTTACTTATTCTTTAGAACGTTCCTGATGATATGTTAACGTATATTTCAAACGCATTCTGTTTATTCCGGCTGTGAAATGGGATTATCCGGAATGTATAAAGAAACGCAGCCAATAATTCGATGCGTAAACGATGCTCCTCTAAACATATTTCGCGCACTGTACTCTTCTCCTCGCGCTCTGCACGCCACAATTGCGTTGGCAATTCATGTCGTTCGGAAGCTCGCTTTTCTTATTTGTGATAGAAAGCCACTTTCGCAATTACCGCACACTTGGCGTTGTCGTTAGCAGGGTTCGCCTGACCAATGGCCATCCTGCGAGTTTTTTTTGCTCTTCCGGATAAGTGCGTGCATTGGATGCGATTGTATCTTGTTATGTTGTTTATAACTACTATTATTGTTGGAATAAGTTTGAAGATTAGCGCTGTGTGCCTCAGAGGGATTCACACTGCTTATATTTTGCGTCTCAGGAAGATTTACTGTACTTGTACTTTGCATCTCAGAGAGATTTATGGTTCTGGTATTTTGTGGATCATTCCCTTCATATGTCATTTGGATAATATCGAGGCAAAGCTCCGTTGTGTCATTGCAGCCGTCGATGTTATCGGGGCGTGTTTCGAAAGAGGGCTCAGAGTCTGCTGTGGCGAACTGGCCTTCATCGTCATGGTCGAAATTTGGTGCGCGACAGTTTATTCGCGGCGTAGCCTTTTCGGAGACCCGCTTTGATATTTTTAAATTTACTTAGGAGATTCTTTTCTGAACGAAATGTCTATAAAAGCACAGAAAACTGGAAAACCCTATCAGAATGGAGAATGAAAAAGTTTACCTTGGAAATCGATGACGAATTGAACTCCTTTTCAATAGTTCGCCATGCTTCCTTTTTTTGATCATTGTTTAGCAGATTTGTACTTTTGTCTAGAAGCTTTAGCACAAGCTCGGACAACAAATCCTCCTCAGCCGCAGAGTAATTTTGGTTGCGGACCTTTGACGGACCAGCTTGTTGTTTTGAATCGCCATTTGCTTTTATTTTTGGAAACCAAAAGACAAAATTCACAAAGAAAAAGCAAAATTTGAAATTTTATGTTTATGAATTGAAAATTTATAATTTAAAAAACGCGTTGTAAACTGAGAATTCAGCTCATTGTCAGCAGCTTAAATGTCAGCCGTAAAACAGAATTACGACGCGTCGCAAGTCTGATTATGTTTGTGAACAAATCGAAACAATTGATGCGGGTTGTAAACCGAGTCGTATTATAAATCTCGATTTAAATAAATCGAGTTTCATACGGTTTTAAAACTCGGTCAACAAAATGGGCGTTTCAAAGTTTTTGCGAAGTTGAAAAAATTTATTTAAGCCATGACGAATTATAGATGAAATCCTTAAATAGTGGTATTTTTCCACAGTTTGAAAAAATATGTAATTTTCTTTTTTTTTCCATACCACACTCAAATGAAGCAACTGTGAGGATCTTAAGTATAAACTTTGCTTCCGGGCGCAGACGGAAACCGGGTTCTTATTAAAATTGTTTAAAGACAACTGCAAATTTTAAAATGAAATCTATAGAATTCTTTGACAATTTAAACACCGAAGATAGAAATGATCTCAATATTGCTATTCAAAAATGTCATAAATATAAAACACTTTATTGACTTCTGTGCACAATGATGTGTACACTAGAGTGGTTAAAAAAAAACAATGTTTTTGGAAATTCATAAACGCTTCATCAAAATATTGTTATTTGTGATAAAATAAGAGACACGTATTTTTATTTAGAAAAAAAAAATTTTTAACAGTTTAAAAAAAAAAACGCTGATGTTCTCAATGTTTTTATTTTCGAGATATGTTAAAATGCAGCTAAAAATGTGGCTTTTACATGCGATTACTCTGGTATTATTGGGAACATTCCCTTAACTACATACCTGTCTTGGACAGGACTAGGCCCATTAGTTCCCGAAAATATGCTTTCGAATATAAAATACTAAAATGAAAAAGTTGATACTGAACGATTTACGCATTGTCATGCATTGGAACTTGTTACTAGGGGGTTTCTAGGATTGCTAATTAGGAACCTGAAGTCGGTTTTTCAAAATTCTAAATGGCGGATCCAAAATGGCCACCAATATTTTTAAATATGATTGGATTTGTTCGAAACCAGGCACTCGGGAGTTTTTGGTGTCGCTGTTCCTGAGGTTGCTGATTAAGAATCTGATGCCAGATTTGCAAAATTCAAAATTACGGATTCAATATGGCGATCAATTAAAAAAAAAAAAATGGATTTGTTTGAAACTCTTAACCGCTATTTTCAATTTTGAAAATCTGACATCAGATGTTACATATGTACCAGACTAATTACATTTGAAAACCAAATTTTTTGCTGCATTTTAACATATCACGAAAACAAAAAAACTGAAAACATCGGCACTTTTATAAAAACCCGACCAGCGAAATGAAAAAATACGTGTCTCTTTCTTATAACAAATAACGTGAATTTGAGTTAGCGTTTATGAATTTCCAAAAAAAAAAAAATTTTGAACTACTCTAGTGTACACTCATGTTAAAGTGAATAACACTATTATTTTTTATGAACTTATTGATTTATATACCAAAATATTGTTAAAAATAAGTACTCTGGCATTTTAAAGTATGTATTATCTGTTACTTACATTCATAATTTTGTTTTGAATAAAAATGTACTAAAAAGTACTGATTTTTTTTAACATAAAGAAATCCAAATTACTGATTTCGCGCATAAAAAATCTGGCACCCCTAGAAATATCTATCATATCGGACCAAATTCAAAATGATGTTGTTTGCCACTTATGTTAATTTATTGATTTTTAAGATTTTTCAGTTAAAACAGAGTTCATTCCCTAACATATACTATATAAAGGGCAGTTTGCAGTTTCGAAGTAAAACGAAAAATTCATATAAAATAACGCACAAGAAATGGAAAAGAAATTTTCTACTATCAAAATTTCTTAAATCAGTTTGCAGCTCTCAAGAAAAAATATTAGGATATTTATTTCTTCAAGAAAATTTAGAGCAAAAAGTTAGAATCCAGATCTTAAGAAAATCATATTATAATTTTTATTATTTCTGTTGCTTTAAGAAACATTTTGCCTTTGCTGTAAATTTTCTTGAAGAAAAAAATATACGAGCATTTTTTCTTGAGAGCTGCAAACTGAAAATTGCTTTTCGATTTCTGGTGCGTCTTTTTATATGAATTATTCGTTTTTTTTTTTTTAGAGCTGGAAATAGGCCTGAAAGCAGGGTACTTTTTCAACCAACAGAAATAATGAAAAATATTTCTTGAAAGCTGCAAGCAGCCCTTAAACCTGGGCTTCTAATTTTGTAGAACACTGAAAAAAATTTATCAAATTTTCAAAAATTTTTCTCAGAAGTGTTTATAGCCCATTCAAGTTTAGTGCAATAATGTCCAAGTTTCAAGTGGCTAAAAATTACCGGTAAATTTTTAGATTTTTTTTGCCAAACGTAAAAACGTGAAAATTATAAGCAAAATTGTAAATGGGATACGAAAAATTTAGGTCAGAGACCGAAAATAACTGTTACGTAAAAATTTTAAACTAAAAAATCATTATGAGAAAGCTGTCACACACATATACTTTCAAATGCCAAAATGCTTAATTTTTTGAGTTTTTTTTCTAAATTCGTTTTGATTGTAAATTTTGACCCAAAAGCTAAGAAGTAGC